ACTGAACAGTTGGCGTCTGGTCGTCATAATGAAGTCAATCTCATTTTTTGTCGAACCGTCGGGGCTCGACCAGGTCCACTTCCTGTGGGGCCGCTTCTGGAAGAAAGAGTTCATCATAAAGAGTCCCTCTTTCTCCATAAAGTCGGCCAGCTGCTGGCCCCTTCGGTTCCGTTGCCCTACTCCAAATTTCCCTAACTTCAGCTCACCGCTTTCTCTTGTGCCTAGTTTTGCGTTGAAGTCTCCCATCAACACCGTGTAGTGGGTTTTGGAGGAATGTATGGCTTTGGAAATATCCTCATACATTTCCTCCACCTCCTCATCGGAATGTGCCGACGTTGGTGCGTAAACCTGTATGACCTTCAGCGAATACCGTTTGGTGATTCTGAGTATCAGGTACGCGACCCTCGTCGACACACTCTCAATCTGTACAACGTTGTTGACGAGAGACTTGTGGACGATAAATCCGACACCTCCTTGGGACAGATGGTCGCCCTCCCGGTGATAGAACAAGTTGCCGGATTCGAGAATCACCGTGTCCTCCCCCTCTCTTCGGACCTCGGATAATCCTATAATACTCCAGCGCAACTTGTCTATCTCTTCTTCCAGCTCCAGGATCTTCTCGTCAGTCCTCAGTGTGCGTGCGTTAAATGTTGCCAGGTCGAGTCGTCGTAGGTGGCAACCGAACCTCCACCGGAGATTCTTAGCACCCCCTATATACATAAATATACAATTAGCTTTATTTATTTTTTACATGCATCATAAACTGGAATAAATACCATTAATAAGAACTTAACTTATTTTAAAGTTAAAAGAGTTATAATCGATTAGTCTATGTTTTAAAATTGGGTTTTGATTTTAAAGTTTAGCAAAATATACCTACTTGCATTTCTATCAGACATTTGATGTATATAAAAAACACCATATAATTTATTTGGTAATTTAATTTTTTTAGAGAGAGACAAAAACAATAGCAATAAATATAATTAACATTGACTTAATAATAGGTACTAATTATAACTTAAAACATAAATGAAAAACTCATGACGAGCAAAGTGGCTCAGGACCATGCTTTGCGGCTGTCTGTGGAGGAGGATGTTCAGTAGTAGACTTGTGAACAGCTGTAATGATGATGATGATTCGAAATCTTGCACGATTAAATTATAAGAAATCGTCGTTTTTTTATAGGATAGTGTGACAAACGAGCACACAGTTCACCTGATGGTAAGTGGTTACTGTGGCCCACAGACATCTACATCTATCCTCGATTACGAATCAAAATGCAGATGCGTTGTCACCCGTGAGGACTAAGATGAAATGCCTCGTTTCCTTTAAAAAGGGTCTCTGGTTCTCTACACTCACTATACGAAACACATACTATTTTACGCTGATATTCTGTGAGAGCGTGGTCCTTCCCCGGTCGAGGCGACCCATCCGTGCTACAACTATACTACTAATATAACTGCATGGTTCTACCACATATAAACGATGTGCTTCATTTTTTTCATTTTAAAATTGTCCTCGTAATAATCTGATTGTAAATAAATGTTCATTATTTGTTTTGATAAATAGCTTATCGATTAAAACAAATATTTAAAAATAATTAAATCGCGCTAATTAAAGTAGTAGTTGAAATTAGCACTAAAAGGCTAATAGGGGCACCACCCTATAAAGCGTGAATTTAAATTTAAATCAGGTGCGTGTAATCACTCCTTCCCCGGTCGAGCCGACCTTCGTGCTGCAACTATACTTCTAATATAATTGCATGGTTCTACCACGTATAAACGAAGTGCTTCATTTTTTTTTCATTTTAAAATTGTTCTCGTAATAATCTGATTGTAAATAAATGTTCATTATTTTTTTTTTATAAATAGCTTATCGATTAAAGCAAATGTTTAAAAATAATTAAATCGCGCTAATTAAAGTAGTAGGAATGTTTAAAGTGGAAATTGGCACTAAAAGGCTGGTAATGGGGGCATCCACCCTACAAAACTTGAATATAAAATTTAAATCAGATGCGTGTAATCACTCTGGGAGCTTGTAGCAAACTAAACGCGCGGCCAACGTGTGGACGCGGCGACCAAACTCTGCCAACAATCCTTTGATCTTTTGTAAAAAACCGACACCACACGGATCTCGCGCCAACTTGTGGGCCATCGTTCCAATACATACCAATGAAGCCCAAACACCCCGTCTACACGTTGGCCAATGCTATTGGCCACTACATTCACCACTGTGTTGGCCAACGTGTAGAGGCGCCGTTATGTAACATTCAAATAAATAGTTTTGAAATAACAAAATGGCAAAGTCTAACAAAAATACCTAAAGCTGACTATTACATATGGTAAACATTATTCTTGCAAAGTCGAGCTTTTCCCTTATGAAATCAATGGAAACGGAATTTTGTGTAATATTTCATGACGTTTGTCTGCAGTTTGCCCTCGTGTTTATAACCGAGTACGCTGATGTACCATGTAAGATTTGCATAATGCTTTTGCTTCTGCATCGGTTGCGCAGTTTCAAGGCAACAGTAATTCGTTGGCGGGAACGGCGGCGAATAGTTTTTTGGTTTCGTTTACACAGGCGGCGATTATTTTCGCAAAAGCCACGGGAGCTATGTCGCGTATGACGGACTCCCAGTTCGCGTTGAGCACGCTTCTCATTGTTCTGGCTGGAGATAAGAAATGAATTAATATTTTTGCGGTAGCGGTTATATAAATCGTTGAAGTAATATGTAGCTACTACGTACTAGAAGAGACGCCGAGGCTAAGTCGTTTGCAACACGAATTATAGCCCTTGGGCTTAAATTTATTTAATCTGTGCCATAAAAACGTAGTCTGTGCATCGCAGCACCGCCCGCACAGATTTTGCTCGCGGTGTCTTCTATTACGTAGTATAAGTATTACTTCACTTAACTAGATACATAAAAAATATCGATGATGTACACCCTGATGAATTTGGTTTTGTTAATCGTGAACTGGTAGTGTAACAATGTGATGAATTGTAAAATTACCGCATATTTCCTATTTCATCCATTACAAGGTAGTTTACTTCTAACGTGTGATGTAGTACCATACTACCGTTAAAAACAATAAGACGCAAATGAAGATGAACTGGTAGTGTTATAATGTGATGAATTGTAAAATTACCTATCGCATACTTCCTATTTCATCTATTACAAGGTTAAAATTATTTGTTTGTAATGAGTGACGTAAAGGATACCGTTAAAAACATAATACTCTAATGGTAATGGTGAAATGGTAGTGGTAATATTATATGATGATCTAAAAGTTAGTTCATACATATTTCCTATTTCATCCATCATGAGGTTATTAACTTCTAATGTGTGATATAAAGACTCCGCCAAAACATAAATTTAAAAAAGGGAGAAATGAGTTTCATAAACTACCTAAAAAGGGCGCCAAGCTAGGTAGGAGTTAGCTCAGTCGATAAAAGTTCAGATTCCCAGCTCTAAACTAGAGAATGAGATGTAAACTGGTGCCAACCACCAAAGTAGTTCATAAACAAGTCATAACTGTAGGAATGTACAATTTGCTTGATGTTTTCAGATTGTTTCCATTACTCACATACACCTAAATATTCCATGATGACAAATTGCAAGTTTCTAAGTAACCTAGAAATGTTCTACAGTACCTAAATTAGAGAGTGATAAAGAACTGTAATAGTTGTACTCAAACTAATCTCCTGACTCCGGGTCCGGACTGCTATGAACTGTCCTCTAGAAATGAGAATCTCTTGCCAGAATTACCCAACAACTGATTCTGTGCCCGACCCGCATGGCTTCAAACTTGGAACCCACGATCAGCCACGTGTACGATCACAAGGCCATTAAGACAGTTTATATAACCTGTGAGGGGGACTGAGCGTTTAATGCACCTGAAAAGGGATTATTTTTTATTGAGTTGGACTTTAAAAAAAGGCCGGTATTCAGAGATAATTACGAATTTTAGGCCGGCCACATACATACGGAATTCCACTTCTTTACAATATGCCGATGTAACATAATGAGAAGTTCTTGAAAGATTTGGCGGTAGCAGAGCCCAACGGATAGTTGACGAGTTTTATCAAGTTTTTAAGGCGCCTAAGCGGACAAAATAACTTGAGATCTATACCAACATCGGAGCGCCTGTTTCGCCGGTTTTACTAATAGTTCACATGCGCTGACACTACAGAACATCGCTTTACTCTTACTATCAAACTCCACTTCTTCTTCTTTAAATTATGGCTTCTCTTGATAGAATGTTGCCAGAGTCAAGTTAGTCATGGGAGTGTTCAAACCATTACTAAATCCGCTGTCAGTCCAGTTCCCGCCAAAACTATCGTCAAAAAGTAAAGTATTGTCTAGATTCAAATTTTGAGGTTGTGGATTATAGTAGTTCAAATTCAAAATATTTATTGAATATTAAGTGTTACATTTGGCGTATACACTATTGTCTATCCCATGGATACCTTGGATAAATCAACATTTATCCAAAGTCTAGACTCAAGTTTTGACGTTTTGAAGTTTGAGTTCAAACTCGAGATTGTCTCTGAATACAGGCGTATGAGAACAATTGTATTTAAACTGATCGATGAAAAATAATGTTAAATATATTTATAACTAGCGATCCACCCCGGCTTCGTATGAGTGATTTATTAATCTCGACAACAGAATCTAATCTAAACCATCCAGGTGCCCACACAAACACAAAAAAATTCATCGAAATCGGTCGAGCCATTTTCCAATTTTTGTGAGACGCTCGGCAATTGCATTTTTATATATAGAATAGATAAATAATCTATGGAAAAGAATGATTGAATGGAAAGAACTTATGTCGGGCGATAAATAGCGATCTCTAATAAATAAAAATATTAGAATAAAAGAAGTGATTAAAAAATAGCTCATAATCAAAGAGATGTGAAAAGAATGAATAAGATGGCGAGGTGGCGAATGGTTCATGTCATGAATAATAGATGACATTGAAGGCAAAGACCCCAACCATTTATGGGAGCATGAGCTCCGCTGCAGGAACGGCAGCGAATAATTTCTTGGCTTCCTCAACGCAGCGCTTAATGATGTTTTTGATGGACGGCGGTGAGATATCTTGCATTATAATCTCCCAACTTTCGTTTATAAATGCTAGTGTTGTGGCGGCTGAAATAGAGCTTCTATTTAAACATCTTTAATTACTATAGCAAGTGTAAAAAATAGGAAATACCAGAAAAAATCGAGGTTTTACTGTGTTGTGGATACGGCCCTGTGTTTTACGCGAATACATGTGTGCGATAGACACGTGTCAATCATGAATGATTCGTTCGTTTGAGCACTTACACTTAAAAGTATTGGTGGTTTTTTCATCTGTTTTTTGAATGTTTCGGTACAACTAATCACAAACAATTGACGGAACCTTTTTAACTCGTGATTAATGATCTGAATGTATTGCTTTAGTGTAGGGTATTGGAGCCCGAAATGATCCATTTGAATGATCGATCTGAATGTACGCGTGACGAAATGTACTAGAACAATGCGGTCACGAGAAATGAATGATTGACACATGTCTAATGTGCGTAATCGTAACATCATAATTTATACTAAACGGAAATTATGTGACGTAACGATACGACCTCAAAATAGCGGCGCTTCACACTCCGCCGCGCGTGATGCTTCACAGTCCTCACTCAACGTAATTAATTCTTTGATCTTTTAGCTATGGAGTGGTGTAATTAAATTTTCAGTGTAGATGATAGACTTTTTTATCATCAGTTTTATGAATTGTCTCCTACTATGGAAACTTTAAAGACGTACTTACGTCAAAACATTATGGCTTCTAATCTTCTAATAGATTGCAGTATAGCCATCTCATTTATTCCAGACAAAAAATAAATGTAAATCTGTCTGCCGAACGTGAGGATTAAGACGAATCCTCTCAATAACGAGAGCTGTGTGCTTTTACTACTTGATATAGAAGACTAGTAAGTTTTTTTTTAATAGAATAAGGGTGATAAACGATAAAACAGTCCACCTTATGGTAACTGAATTATGTGCCGCCTAAAAATTTACAATTATCCACGATTAGGAAACAAAATACTGATGCGTTATCACCCCTTAGGACTGAGATGGAATGCCTCGTGTCCAGTGTAAAAGGGTCTACTGTTCTCTACGTAATAGAACGTATTGCTCACGTTGGTACTGTAAGAGCGTGGTCCTGTCCTGTCGAGTCGACGCATTCGTGTTACAACTACAACCATAGTATAGCTGCAGTATAGTTCTATCATGTATAAGCAAATTATTCTTACAACTATCATAAATTATTAACAGATATTAGCAGAAACGGTTGATAGGTTGGTAAACGAGCGTTTAAACTGCTATTAGTGATAATGAAAACGTTTCTTTCTGTCTCTTTTTCTTTGAACTATATTATGTATTATTACTCACGTACTCACGTAGTTTTTGTACGTGGTAGAGCCATCTGCAGTTATATTAGTAGTATAGTTGTAGCACGAATGGGTCGGCTCGACCGGGGAAGGACCACGCTCTCACAGAATACCAGCGTGAAATAGTAGCTTAATTCTGCTGTGTTTCGTATGGTGAGTGTAGAGAACCGGAGACCCTTTTTACTGGAAATGAGGCATTCCATCTTGGACCTTACGGGTGACAACGCATCTGCATTTTGATTCGTAATCGAAGATAAATGTAGATGTCTATGGGCCACAGCAACCACTTACCATCAGGTGGATTGTGTGCTCGTTTGTCACCCTATCCTATAAGAAAAGTAGAAACGTTATGTAATCTGTATTATTACCCCGTAGCAGCGGAGTAGCCCGGCCCGCGCCCCGCACCCCGCACCCCACGCCCCGCACCCCGCACCCCACGCCCTGCGCCCCGCACCCCGCGGGCGTATTAAGAGGCGACAGATGGATATGACACAGGTAATGGCCAGTACCTTCTTCTTTTTTCCTGATAAAACAAAATCATAAAGAACAGCGATTGCCAACCCGTCTGCCAAGTGTGGCTTGTCAAATATCCCTCTATGAGGCAAGCTGTGGGGGAAACCTATGTTCAGCTGTGGACTATTAAATGGTGGCTTTTCTAGTGACTATGTGCATACGTGCATATCAAGCCACGAATGTGCTTGTACTGGTGCAGCGCTGCAGACCCAGTGCTTACCAAGTTCCTTATTTTTCCCCCCGAAGAGGTTGGTAAATCTAAACTGCGCCTTGTCCATCTTGTAGTTGTCTTTGTATTTCGGGACCACCCAGTGACCGTCCTTTGTCTCGTAGTCGTATTTAATCACGATGTTTAGGTTTGCTGTAACAAAAGGGTAATCTTGAGAACATTTCCAGAACCTTTGTCTTGACAGCTTCCGAAGTAACTGCCATGCTGTCCATCACTCCATGTCGTAGCTAAGATCCACGTAATAAAATAAAATGATGTGTCTTGGAAGCGACAGTAGTATGGCAGGGCGCGGATTGCGAACTCAAAAGGTCTTGGGTTCGAATCCGCCATTTGACTACTGTCGTAACCACTCCTAATACAAGCATTTTCAAGCTTACCAGGAGTGGTTAAAAGGAATATTAGTAATGTTAATTAATAAGATTACTAATATTTTTTTAAAAAATAAGAAAAAATAAGAATAAGAAAAATAAGTCTTACCTAGCATGAAGAGCACCTCCCCCAATTGCGTGCACTATCCCCGTCATCATTAATCCCAGCACCAATACTCCCAACACCACTACATTAGGAAAGACACACCACTATGTCTTAGCGGTGAGCCACCGCAGTGTTCTACTTTACCTGAGGATGTCTTGTGCAGAGGCGAAACACGTGTCGTATTATCGACGGTGGTCTTTCTTTCTTAGTCAGTGGTGTTCTGGGATTAATGGTGACGGTTATAGCGCTTATTACATTATACAATTTTTAGAAAATCTAATTAGGAACCTAAATTGGAAGCTAGTGATCACATTGCACTAAATTTAATTCTAAATCGTGACGAAGTGCATTCGTAAAGAAGTATCGACGGGGTTGCACGTTTGATCGATGGCGCCGTATTTATCAAAACAGCAGAAAATAGGACTTGCCTTAGCCATGGTGGGAACAACGGATATTAAAAAAAAAGAAAAGAGTACTTGTCATTGAGAAAAAAACTGTCCAATATGAATATAATTATATATTTTTAGATTCTAAGCAGTTTTTTTATAGGATAGGGTGACAAACTAACACACAATCCACCTGATGGTAAGTAGTTGCTGCGGCCCATAGACATCTACATCTATCTCCGATTACAAATCAAAATACAGATGCGTTGTCACCCTTGACGACTAAGATAGAATGCCTCGTTTCGGTTTTCGGAAGGGTCTCCGGTTGTCTACACTCGCTATAAGAAACACAGCAACTATTTTACGCTGGAATTCTGTGAGAGCGTTTTCCTTCCCCGGTCGAGCCGACCCATTCGTGCTACAACTATACTACTAATATAACTGTAGCATGGCTCTACCACCTATAAAACAGCCGGGCGCCGACTGGTTGTTCTAAATCGTAACGTTGCGATTACACTGTCCTAAATTGTAAACAATTTAGGAAGTAGAGCGGTCGGGACCTCCAATTTGACTAAATCGGATCCTAACTGTTCTAACTACCATTACACCTTCCTACTTCCTAATTAGATTTTCTAAAAATTGTATAATGTAATAAACGCTTAATAGTAATAATTTTATAAAAATGAAAGATCGATAAAAAAGTTCCTTGACTATCCTTAAATAAAATAACGCCACCTTAACAGATTCTATCCAGACGTACCCGGGCAGCGTCGCTGTGGTATAATGTTACAGCCTATATACGTCCCACTGCTGGGTACAGACCTGTCATTTCTGAGAGGGTTTAAAGGCAAGGAAATGTCCGCCGCGATGCTTCAATGTGTGTTGTCTGTCGCTTTACAGAGTGCACATATCTTCGAAATAAAAAAAATTAAACATGCAGTTTTACGCTGAGCACGTGGTAAACCAGTACTTAAAATTGTTAATAAAAGTTTCATTGGAGCTAGCGCCCATGTAGTGGCGGTGTAATAATATACCACTATCCCATATAAGTAATTAAGACACATCTTCTCGTCAGGTATACCTCAAAACCTGAAAACTAGATTGTACAACCAGTGCGTGTTATCAGTGATGATTTGATGACGGGATCTGAGACGTGGTCCTTCACTGCTGGCCGTATGGGGACGCTCAAGGTCGCTCAGCGAGCTATGGAGAGGGCTTTGCTCGGGGTTTCTCTGCGTGATAAACTTAGATATGAGGATATCCGCAGTAGAACGAGAGTGACCGACATAGCTCAACAGATTAGTAAGCTGAAGTGGCAATGGGCCGGCCATGTAGCTCGAAGAACCGACAACCGATGGGGAAAAAAAGGTTCTCGAGTGGAAAGCTCGTACTGGTAGACGAAGTGTATAGCGACCTCCACTAGATGAAGTGACGACCTGGTAAGACATGCAGGAAGTCGATGGATGCAGGTGGCTCAGGACCGTGCTTTGTGGCATTCCTTGGGTGAGCTTATGTTCAGTAGTGGACTTGTGAAGGGCTGCAATGATGATGATGATGACCACATATAGTCCTGTGGGTGTCGTAAAAGGCGACAGAGGAAACTGGAACAAGAGATGGACAGCCAACCCGCCTACCAATCGTGGCAACTATGGCAAATTCCACCTTGTGGGGCAATCTACTGGGAAGACCTATTTGCAGCAGTGGACTTAAGAGCTGTAATGGATAACGGATTGATGCTGGCCAAAATCGAACCCGGGTTGCTCGCATACTGTGAGATTTACGGCCAACGCTTAGCGTAGCGTAGCAACACTCCGTGGCAGCGTATAGCCTATCAAAAGGCTGCTAAATAGGCCTCCCCCATAGATTACCTCACAGAGATGATATTTGCCATAGTTGCCATTCTGGCGGGCGGGCTGCAACCACAGTTTTTTTACTTCCCTATACATAATTTTTTTAAGTAAATAATATATATATACAATAAAAGACTCACTAATTATTATATCCGCTTGACCGTTTCCTCTGATGTCGAGGATGAGCACACGACCGTCCATGTTGTATTTCGCACTCAGGGTCACGTTAGCCGTGAAGTCGAACACCGCTTTTCCTGTCTCTGTGTTGATTCTGGAATAGAATTTAATAATTGTATCAAATTTTTAAATATAACTAGTTATTACGATATATATATATATGTATATATATATATATATATATATATATATATGTATATATATATGTATATATATATATATATATATATATATATATATATATATATATATATAATATTTATTTATATGACATCTACATTTATCCTCGATTAAGACTCAAAACGCAGATGCGTTGTCATTCGTGAGAACTAAGATGAAATGCCTCAATTCCAGTAATAAGGGTCTGAAGTCTTGAGAATTTTAATAAATCATTTTTAGGACTTTCAATAGGGTTTTCAAAGTAACCATCACGGTGTTAAGGTCTAAAAGGTATCTTTGTTTGAGTTTTACTGCAAGTGTTCATGGTGGGTGCAGTAGCCACATACCATCAAGTAGACCGTAAGTTCGTACATCACTTCAGTATTATGAAAAAAATTGAACGAAATTTAACAGTACTACTCCAATTTCTATATCTACCGGCGCCAATTGAATTGTTTTTAAGTAAAATTTTACGTGCTGATTTAACGCGTGTTTGACGGTAAAGTAAAAGGTTATATACTGTTTATTCACCCTAAGAATCTTCTTGCGCCTTACTGCGCCACGAAGCCGTCGAAAAGAGCTTTATTTTTTTTTATAAAAGGGAAGTAACAAACGAAATTACAATCCACCGGACGGTATGTGGCTCTTGCAGCCCATAGACAATTGTAACCAAATTCAAACAAAGAAGGTTACATATGCATTGTCACCTCTGAGAACTGAGATGGAATGTCTCACAGAAAAAAAAAGGGAACTTACTTGTAGGAATTGACTCTGAAATCCTTGAGTCCAGTGACGACGGTGTCAGTGAAGACAAGATTGAGGGCGGGGTTTTCGACATCCACGGTGCCGAGCTTCATGGGGTCCAAGGGGGCGATTCCCAGCTCTGGGATACCGTCAGCAAACAAAGGACCCGCCACTTGTATCGCTTTCTCAACGCATTGGTTCAAGTTGGGGTCAGACTTGGAGCAGGGATGAATGAATGGCGCTGAAAAGATATTGTTCAATTTATTTATTATAATATACATTAACGATTGCTCCGCGGCGGAGTGGCTTAGAATTGAGTTGCGGCACTTAGGGTCACGTGTTCGAATCCAGGAAGAAGTACTTTTATGACATTCAATATTTCTCCGGGTTTGGATGTTGGCCCTTATGCAATTTATGTATGTCAACTGCATATACGATACAGGAGAACCTAGTGGGGTAGGGGGGGGGGGGGGCAAACATTTTTTTCAAAAGAAAAAAGAAAAATTATTAATAGAGCTAGCTCCAACACAACGCCACTGAATGGAAATTGTAATAAAACTACTTTGACTTTGACATTGACTTTTTTTCTATCATCATCATCATTACAGGTGAACATGAGCCTCCTCCATAGACTGTTTTTAGCTATGTATATTATGTCAAATAATATTTAAATAAATATAATTATTACATTTTTAAACCCTCTCAGAAATGAGCGGAGGTCTGTGCTCAGCAGTGGGACGTACCTTTACTTTTTTTACTTTTAATTATTACATTTATTTAAAAATCTTGATTTATTTTGTCTCTGTACATGCATATGAATTAAGGGGAAATATAATCTCAAATGGCTTAGCAAGATCCTTCGTTATGCCGAAAATATTGCAGCATCAATTTTGAAATAAATATATGGTAAAGTTGAGGATTAATGTTAAGGATTATGTTAGACGAAAACACGATTTCGTAAAATGAAATAAGTGTCTAACGACCTTTCTACTTACAGTATTAGTGATTACAAACATGTCGGTACATAGCATACGACGCGCGGGCAAGTGGGGACGAAATTAGAATTTGAGCTGACTTACTCTATCCCCTTAAGTATGTTTGCTTACGAGATCTTGGTCACGTATTTTTCTTAAACGTTTTGTCACCCATTAGGCAATTTCATAATACTTAATTCCATGACGGCCGCTACACGTACACATAGTTTGATAAAGGTCAAATCAAATCAAACATTGTTTAATTAATGCAAGAGTTAATTGGAATGTTTTCTTTTTCTCAAATCAAAAACTATTTTATTATTTATAAAGTTATCATTATGATTTACCCTATTCAGGTACTTATTATTATAGACTTTTCCGGATCAAGACTGTTTAAATTAATTGTACAATTTATTGAAATAAAAAAATAAAAGTAGCTTGAAACAGATAATTTAAAAATATAGTTATGTAGATTGTAGAGGTCACGCGATCAAAGAACACTGATAGCATAGATACTAACGACCCGAGTTAAGCAAATTATCTTGAATAGGAGGATTTTTTCTTCTTTTGTAACGAATAGTTGTATGATTGTATATTTCAGTGTCAAGTAATAAGAAATTATCTAAAGAAAATTGTTAAAAAACTTCTTCATAATGTATCGAATCACAATGTAAAGTTTCTGGAACATTTTGACTGTAGCTTGATCCAGCATAGTCAGTGACAATAGTTTCCCAAGCCCTTACACAAACAAAATATCTCGAGGTTTACATCACTTGTTTCATCGTAATCAATAGCTTACATGCGCAGACATTTAATACACGAAACCACACCAATTTTACGCAACAAAATCTACTTGTGATTATTAAAAAAGTAATACGCCGCGGTTAGGGTTGCCAGATGGTCGGGATTCGTCTGGATTCTACCGAAATTTTGAACGATCTCCAGACTCCCGACAAATCTCAAAAACACCAGACAAACAATTTCTCGGAAAGTTGATGTATGACCTTCGATTTAATAAAAGTTGAGTTAGTAATTAGACTGAACTTTGAAGTAAATCGTTTGAATTTTAAATCTTTTCTGAATACTACTAAAGGATCTAAATTGATGGACTCTAGTAAAGTCAGTGTGTGTGGTGTGCAGATATTTTGTTTTTCCGATATGGCAAACCTAGTCGGGATTCAAGTTAGAATTAAAACCCGCTGGTATTCTGTGAGAGCGTGGTCCTTTTCCGGTTGATCCGACCCATTCGTGCTGCAACCATAATATAGCTGTAGTGTGGCACTATCATATGCGGATCGATTAATGGATTTCCTTAGGCCGCTAAAACATGATGCCATATGCTCGATATAAGTACGTTCAAGCACAGGGCCAACTTCAACAGTTAGTTTTGCTGCCAAATTTCTCTACGGGATAACATTAGTAACCACGATTTTTTTTAAAGCGATACCTCCACACTAGGATTTTTACCTGAATCGAGGGGACAGCTTACAGTCATAAATTGCACAAGTACAAACATCAAGACCCGGAACGATTTGTACTCCACACAAATACTTATACTGTGCGGGAATCGAACCCGCATCCTTTAGCGCTACAACTCATTGCTAAACCACTGCAGTACGGAACTGTCCGCCATTTCCGCAAAAAAAAAAAAAAAACAAGTTTACGTTACTTATAGCTTAGGGAATCAATACGCTGAAGTGGCAATGGACCGACCACAGGTATAACTTGATGGACCGATAACCTATGGAAATATTCTTCATAATCTCGTACTGATAAACAGTGTTAGGCTACCCCCACTGGACGGAGTGACGACCTGACCAGCATCTTACGTAGTAAAGCCATGCTGCAGGTATACAATAGTTGTAGCACGAATGGGTCGGCTCGGGTAAGGATAAGGAGCACGCTCTTACAGAATACCAGCGTGAAATATCAGTTTTATGTTGCTTGTTGTGTTTCGTATAGCGAGTGTAGAGCCGGAGAACTTTTTTTATTGGATACGATATATTTCACTTAGTTCTCAAAATGCATCTGCATTTTGATTCGTAATTGAGGATATATATATATATATATATATATATATATATATATATATATATATATATATATATATATATATATATATATATTTGATGAAGAAGAGTGTGGTTTGCAAGATGATGCGGTGACCAGGATTAAGAAAGGAATGCTTCGGTGGTTTGGTCATGTAGAAAGAATGAATGAGGAAAGACTGACAAAGCAAATATATGTTGCAGAAGTAAATGGAAGAGTAGGAAAGGGACGTCCTAGGCGAAAGTTTGTTGACCAAATTGGCGATATACTAAAAATGGGCCAAATTAAGAGTACCTTTAATATAGTAGAGTATATGGATGTGGGAGAGGCGAGAGAGGTATGTCAGGATCGTGCTAAATGGATGTGTGTAGTTTCTGCCTACCCCTCTGGGTGACAAGCGTGAGTGTATATAGATGTCTATGGGCAACAGCATCCACTTACCTTTAGGTGGACTGTGTGCACGCGTCACCCTTATTCTGTAAACCATACTACATTCAGCAGTGATAGTGTCAATGAAACAACCTGATATGTTTCACAAGAACGCTTATCCGTTTCCGCCGGTGGTTTCTTCAACAATTCGGCCCAGTAACGGTTTCATCAGTTAAGTTGCGATGCTTTTCCTTTGCTACGCAATCGGAATATTATGGAGCGTTCTATTCAATAACGGACCGTTGTGGCCTTGAAACTACTTTTGATTCAATTGACAGAAGAGTCCTACAACTATTTTTTATGTAATAGAGCTACAGCTGTATGCTAGTGGTACGTAGGAGTTGGCTCTACCGGGGAGGGATTCTATTTCGAAATCCTTAGAAATATTTAAAGTGCGGTTTTCATAGACAAAGACATACGTTTTAATAGCATCAATACGCTCACAAAACATACATTTAGAAGTAAATAAGAACATAAAAACACACAAGGTACAAGATGGAAAACATAAATGAAAATAAATGTCAACAAGAGTGAGCATTACTCACTCTTGTTGATATTTATTTTGCCAATAAGGATTTCGTCTCAGCATATGCTACCGCAGGTACTGCAGCAGCGCTGATTTTCAGCGGAGCCCTGATAAATATTAATTCTGTATTGCGCCCGTGTCGTTATCGGTGCTAACATTCCATTTACAAAATAATGAATCAACCATTCACTCAAAGCTTTTTTTGTTCTCGTGTCTCGGGGAAAAATTTTTAGGTTTTCTTCCGGTTTTGCTTTTTTGGCTATAGTTGTTTAAGTAGGTATATCCATAAAAGTCGAAAAATACACATACATACACGTGCATATACACACTCACATATAAAAATATATTATGTTCACATTAATTATTCAATTATATTCGTTAAATCGTATTTATGAAATAACCTGTAACTACATAAAAGGTGTTTATAATTGAGCTTTAAAATCGTTTACAGATTTATTTTTCCGTATAGGTAGTGGTAAATTGTACCAACATTTAGTGGCCATATACCTAAAACTGCCACGAAACGCGGCTGTTCGGCGATATGGGGTTGTCAGACTTGGGGTCCCCGTTCTGATTTGACCATCATCTGCTCACGACGTTTTCTTTCACCGCCAATGCAGTTAATAAAATAATTGTTGCCGAGCTCGAACCATGCTTGATAGAACATTGTGACATTACGACGAGTGCTTAATCTCTATAACTAAGTCTAATTTCACGCAAAGTCTTAAAACTTAATTATTTATAACCATGACTTAGGTAAGAATAAATTGTAATTCCAAGAACACGACAAATTCTATTTGTTTCTCAAGCTAGGCAATTCTGTGGGCAATTCGAGGTGTACGTGTGACACTCAATAAGTTTTGAGATATACAAAAAGTATTCTCGATACTACTACATCTTTTCAAAATATTTCCAAAATATTCTACATCACGCTCTATACAAAGTTCCATTCTCCTAAACCAACTTTGAAAACACTTTTGACAGTCTTGATCTGACAGGTCGGAAATCGCTTCTTCGTAGGCTGCCATGGCTTCTTCGGCGCTTAAAAAAATTTTGCCTTTTATTTTTTTCTTTGACTCTTGGGACCAAAAAGAATCACAAGGAGCTAAGCCAGGGCTATAGGCAATTGGCTTATGGAGCTCTATTTTTAATTAAATTTGCTTTTTAGAAACATATAACACGGAGCATTCCATTTTTAAATTTCGAGCATCTCAAAATTTATTGAGTGACCTACATATTTGACAACGTACTCTAATACATTTT